CAGTCGGCCTGTTCAGTGTTCAGGTTAGCCAACTCGTTGTAGTTGTCCCCACAATGGCGGAACGCACCAGATCAGATCACGCTACTTATATAACTTTCACAAACTTAGTCGTAGTGCCCCAGACATCCCCAGCAATAGTCTCAGACTTCAGTAAGGTGAATTAATGTGAATTTGACTTTTGTGTGCCTGTTGACTCTAGACTTCAGGTGTACAGAACGAAGATTCATGAACTAGGGAAAATCCTCCCTCGCATTTTGCTGCTCTTGCCCGACTTCCCCTTTCGCGGTTCGCGTCACGGCCGGCGCCATCACGCATGAGTGCGGGAGCGGCAGTTACGACCTCTTCCCCCGTCGCGCGCGAGCGGAATCCAGGTGGGTGAGCCGAGGCGGGGTGGACTCAAACTCTCCGAGCGAAGAGCTGAGGTGATTGCTCGGTTCTGTAGATGCGCTGTTTACCCCAGAAAAGACAAAGATGCCCATGTATTCATTCGCAATGAGTTTCACTGACCTTGCATACGCGCCAAACATGCGAGCTTGTAGAGGTCTAATATTTCAGAGGTATATAATAGAACATAAGAACGCTAATAGCATGATAACACTGCACAATGAAACACTCAATTACGACAACAAGATCGCATCGCAAAAAAATCCATCCATCCACCCGTCATATAGCAGCAGCTACGCCGATGTGCCAGCCCGCCTCCATCACCTACAGGCTATTAGTGCCCTCTCACTCCTCATCCTCGCTCTCGTCATCGTCGCTGCTGTCATTCTGCCCCGACCCGCGGAACAGCGCAAGCAGATCGTCCATGCCGAGCTTCATATTCTTGAGCTTGTCGCCCGAGAGCGCGGCGGCAGCCAGCGCGCGCTTCTTCTCTTGCAGCTACAGAACAAAATTATAATCACACTCTGGCCCAACCAAAGAAGTGGAACGAATAAAGAAGTAAAAAAAAAAAAAAAAAGTGGGGTGAAGGCGCGAACACGGAAGGAAAGTAAGGGAGGGGCGGGAAAACGCACCTCCAGGATCCGCTGCTCGACCGTATCCTCAATCGTGAGCTTATGGATATTAACAGCCCGCGTCTGCCCAAACCGATGGGCGCGATCGAACGCCTGGTCCTCGAGCGCGGGGTTCCACCAGAGGTCGACGAGAATGACGTTGTTGCACGCCGTCAGGTTCAGGCCTGTATATCCGGCAGGATGGGACAGGCACAAAGATGAGAATGAGAATGAGGACGAGGATAAGGGGAAAGGAAAGTGGATACACACCGGTGCTGCCAGCCTTGAACGAGATCAAAATACACCGCGTGCTCTTGCTCGTCCGGATCTTCTCGAGCGCCGCGTCGCGCGCATCCTTTTTCATCGAGCCGTCGTCTATCCCATCGCGTCAGCACTCCGTTCTCTTCACACACCCCAAAACCAAACAATCAAACAACCAAACAAAAAGAGGGAAAGAGGGAAAGAAGGAAAGAAGGAAAGAAGGAAAGAAGGAAAGAAGGAAAGAAGGAAAGAAGGAAGAAAGGAAGAACCACGCACAGCGCACATGCTTCACCCCCTCCCGATCCAAAAACGGCCCAAGCACATCCAAAAAGCTCGTAAACTGCGAAAAAACAATCGTCTTCTCCACCCCGCCCGAGCGCCGCTCCGTCTCGCGCATGATCTCGAGGATCTTGCGGATCTTGGCGCTCGACGGGGGCAGCTTCTCCTCCTCCCCCTCCCCCTCCTCTTCATCCTCCTCCTTGCTGGGGGCTCGACCCGAGATGGACTTGCGCCGGGATGTGAGCGCGAGATGCGCGCAGGCCTTGCAGTGGTCGGTCGACGAGGGCGTCGTGTTACTCGGCGTTAGCCTGTCAACGACGCGTTAGCTCGTGAAATATGGGAGAAGAGGGGCAAAAAGCGGACGAGGCGGACGTACTCGGTCTGACACAGCTGGCACTTGCGCGACACCCCGAGCGCACCAAACATCGCCGCGAGCTCGTCCGCCTCCGCACCATCCCCCGCACCGTCGCCGTCGTCGTCGCTCTTCGCCGGACGCGACTCGATCGCAGCCGCGTCGGCCTTGTAGTTCTTCGAGATCAACGACGGATGGTTGCACGCTATAAACCAATCAACATCCCAGCACCCACCACCACCACCCAAAAACACAGAACAAAAACACAGAACAAAAACACACACCCTGGCGCAACCTCAACAAAAGCACCAACACATGCGTATAACTCCTCTCCGCCACCCCCTCCCTCACAAGCTTATCCAGCTCGCTCCCCATCCGCGCCTCCAGCTCCCTATAAAACCGCCTCTCCGCGCGATCAAACGCGCACGGCACAATCCCCACGCGCCGCTCCGGCAGCTCCAGAATCGGCTGGCCGTTGATCAGCTGGTCCTTGCGCCGGCGGAGCATGATCGACCGGAGGACGACCTGCAGGCGCTTCATGGGCGCCGAGGTGCGCCCCGATTTGATGGGCTGGGCGATTTTGGTGTTGAATTCGGGCCAGTCGTTGAGCGGCCGGATGCGCAGGAATTTGATGAGCGAGTAGAGCTCCTCAACGGAGTTTTGCCTGTGTTTGTGTGTTGTGTGAGAAACAGGCGCGTTTGATGATGGCGTGGAAGGAGGAGAGGACGCACATCGGTGTGCCCGTCAGCGCCCAGCGGTACTTGGCCTCGAGCGCGCAGCACGCGATGGCGCTCTTCGTGTTCCGGTTCTTGATATTATGCGCCTCGTCTGCCGCGCGCGCGCCTTCAGCTTCCGCCCTTGCGTGCTACGGGCATATATATAAAAAAACGCACCAAGCACGACGCGGAACCACTTCACACGATACAACGCGTCCTTCTTCGCCTTCCCGCCCGCGCGCTTGCCCTTCGCGTTCGCATTCCTGTTCATCGCCCTGACCACCGAATCGTCGGACTCGTCTTCATCCGAATCAGAATCCGCCGACGCCTTCTTCTTCTTGCCGGACGCCTTCTTCTTAGACGCCTTGCTCCCGCTGCCCTCGTCCTTGATCTCGGGGCTGAACGCAGCGTGCTCAGACGCAGCGGTCGTGTACGATGTGATCACGACGTGGTGCGAGCGCAGCTTGAGCGGGTCTTTACGCGGTATCCGGCGTCCAGTGTCCAGGTTGTTTTATAATTAGAATAGAAGAGAAGAGACGCGGTAACGTGACACATATGTTCAGTTTTCGGCGCTCAACCAAACCGAGTGGGGCGCTCACCGGTAGTGCGCGACTGCCCGTGGTGCTCGAGGACGCGCAGGCCCGTGGAGAGGCGTTTGATTTCTTGTGCCCATTGGGAGACGAGCGCGACGGGGCAGATGACGCTGCATTCGGCGGGTTAGAACGACGAGGGAGGGAGAGAGGTGGGTGGGAGGGAGGAGGAGACGTACAGAGTCGTCGCGGCCCATCCGTCGTCCTTGTCCGATTTCTTCGCTTTGCCATCGAGAATACGCGCGAGCGTCTGGATCGTCTTGCCCAGCCTATGCAACAACACAAACAACGACGCGTGTCAGCGTCTACTCCATAACACGCCTTCGCGAAGCAAAATAGCACACACCCCATGTCATCCGCTAAAATCCCCCCAGCCTTCTTGCCCGACTCGCGATCGCGCATCCACGCGCGCCCGAGCACCTGGTGCGGCAGGAGCCTTACGCCTTCTTGAAACCCATCGACGAGCGCCGCGGCGGGGTCGATGTCGACGTCCTGTGTGTCCTCGAACGTCCCCGCGACGAGCTCGCGCAGATCTTGGTCTGCCTCTGAGGCGGTTTTGCGCGGCTCGAAGGGTGCGTACGCGGGGTTCGCACCGGCACCAGAGCTGTAGGCGGGGCTGTGGCCGGGCGCGTCGTAGGGGCTGTGTGCCGGGCGCGGAGGGCCAGCGCCGCCGCCGCCGCTGCTGGTGCGGGGATACGGATACGCGTTGGCGGGGTTGATGGGCGCGCCGATGGGTGTAGGGCCAGCGGCGCGCGGGGGCGGCGCGGTGGGTGCTGCCTTGTGCAGCGTCTGCTGGACCGTTTGGGCTGTGTAGTGCGTGGGCGTGGGCATGGGCATGAGGGGTGACTTGAAGGGCTTTGTGAGCTTCGGGTCGAGGTTGTGCGGGGAGGAGGAGGACTTGGGTTTGGGTTTTGGGGAGAGGCTTTTATGGGTTGCCATGGGACGAAGATGATGTTAGGTTTGTTTTCTTTGTTTGTTTGTTTTGTTTGAAAGGGGAAAGGAGAGGGTGGTTTACGTACACTTGTACATCATCGTCGCTATCGCTATCGGTGCCGCTTTCGTCTTCATCCTCTTCGTCGGACGAGATGACAATAGGGCGGTTGGATTTGGTGACTGGTAGCTTGCGGGGCGGTTGGGATGCCAGTGATGAAGATGTCGATGCGATTGACTGAGAGTTGAATAAGGCAAGGGCAGGTTGGAGTAAAAGGACTAGGCGTACGATTGCGCTTGCTGTTTCGCGAGGCTTGTCCATGCTCGTCCTCGCTGGAAAGAGGTCGAGATCGTTGGCGAACTGTCGTCGTCTGAATGTGCAATTCAGCCTTATAAGTCTCTATAAACATCAAGAGGAACTCACAGGTTCTCCATGTAGTCTGGTGAAGCGGAGGTGGTGGATTGATGAGGGCGTGAAAGGGAAAAGAGGTTGCCCATTTCAAAAGCCACGAGCATACAACGCGTCCATTATGGATGTCACGTGTGTTCATCACGCATAAAGGTTAAAACCGCCGACGCTGCGGCCAATCAGGGGCAGTTGTTGGCCGATCGCAACCCCGCACTGCTCTAGGTTCCCACGACGCCTTGTTAGCTTCCACGGAAAACACTCACGACACCGATTTTCCGTGGTTTGGACGCCGACGCCGACATTCTGATGCGCCGAGTGCGCTGCGCCGTCATATGGTCTGTCTTGCTGTGCAGAAAGTGGTCTATGTCGCCGGAATGTCCGAGGCGCCGGTGCGCTCTCTGTCGTTGTCAAAACATAGCCTTGTCCATCCTCTCGGGGCTCCCACGCGTAGCTATCTAGGCCCTTGTTCGGTTCTCCCGCTGCATGGTTCGAGGAATGCTTGCTGGATGGGAAGCAGCTATCGCATTTCCTTCTCTCGGATGGCTTAGAGGTGATGATCATCGCAAGAAGCATGGGATGCATAAAGCCGTCGCGCGCGATCGTTTCCCTCCCTCGAGCTCGGAAGCCCTGGTGGTGTTCCATCGGCCTCGGGGCTCCTCCGACGGCCACATCTCTCCTTCCCTGTCTCACTCTGTTTTGCTGCTTTGGCCGCCGTACGTCGGCGCTCTGTATCAATAGTGCCCTCCCGTTCTATCACGGGCGCTAACGCTCACCGTGACGTCGGCCCGCCCTCTCGGTGCGCGTTGGCTTGTACTGCCAGTGGACCTCGGAAGTACAACGTGGCCGAGGTGCCTGTTCTGAATCTTCTGCGCTTCCATCACGTTGAATGGACCCTTCCGAAAGCTGTAATCGCCGCTAGGAATGGAGCTCGCTGACTGGCTCGCTGGCATCGGCTCGAGCTCAGCCTCGCTGTCTGCTTATAAGCGACATGGGATAGGTCTGTGATAGCCCCTCAGTACCTCACCAGTCTCCCCGCACTTTATCACATCAACCCGTTAACTCACTCATCATGCTTGCTCGTGCTCTGCCACCTGCTGTTCCAAACACTCAGTGCCTCTCCTCGACGTCGTTCACGATCCCGCCTCTTGGACCCGGATCGACCATTGCGCAAACGGTCGAGTGGCACGCTGCGCACAGTGCCCAACATCCACTCTTTGTATACCCGCGTGAAGACGGCTCGCAGGGGAAGGTGACATGGTCTGAAGTCGGCGAGGCTGTGAAAGTTGGCGCAACAATTTTATTGCAGCGTACGGGGTTGGACACTGACAGGACGGCAGAGGGGAGGCCAGTCGTAGGCATTCTCGCACTATCAGGTACGTCTTTTTCTTATGCAATTGTGAGGACCACCTCCCAACCTCTTACACTCGCAACGCGCAGACATGATCCCCTACGCAACAACATTCCTCGCAATCCAGCGCGCCGGCTGTACGCCCTTCCCCATCTCGCCGCGCAACTCCCCCGCGGCAGTCGCCCATCTTCTCGCGAATGCGTCCGTCGCGCACATCCTCGTCGGGCCCGAAGAGAGCATGCAGACGCTTCTCAGCGCCGCGCTTGATATCCTCCTTCACCCGCCTTCCTCCTCAACCCTCCCCTCAAATACGGACACACCCGCCGTCCTCCCCCTGCCCACATACACCGATCTCTACCACCCCTCTCCCTCTACCCTCGCCTCCCTCCCCGCGCTCCCCGCTCTCCCGACATACGACCCAGCGCCGTCCTCGATAACAGCCATAATGCACTCCTCGGGCTCGACCGCGTTTCCGAAGCCCATACCCTGGACATCGCGCAACTACGCGGATCTGCGGCTCGTGCCGTTCTTCGGCGAGCGCGATCTGACGGGCAGCGTTTTTGCGCTGCAGACGATGCCGATGTATCATGGGCTGGGCGTTGTTGCGCTGTGCTGGGCGGTGAGTATCTCGTTCTGGATCTCACTCTCAATCTGGATTTGGATTCGTATTTGGATTCGCATTTGAGAGCTAGTGCTAGTGGCGCACTGTGTACATGCTATGCTATGCGCTTGCTCGGCTCCTCCTCGCTTCGGCCTCACCCAACACTATCACCAGTGCTAATGCCAGTGCTGACTTGCTCCATCTTCGCAGGCAGGCTGCGGCCTCACCATCGGCGCATTCGAGCCGCGCGTCGCGCACGCGCCCGCGACGGTGCCGACGCCCGACAACGTGTTCGCGGCTGCACGGACGATACGCGCGGATATCGTGTTTGCGGTGCCGTCCATGGTCGAGGTGAGCATTGTCCGCCCCCGCTTATCTATAGCTAGTGTCTGGGTAAAGCTCGAGATGGGTGGGCGCTGATGGTGGCGTTAATTTTTTTGTGCAGGCGTGGGCGACTAGGCCGGATTATGTGGAGTGGCTGGCGTCGAGGACGGGCGTTGTGAGTATTTCTGGTTTCCATTTTCGGAGCGGTGTTAATGAAGTATTGTAGCTGTACGGCGGCGGCCCGTTGAACAAGGACACGGGCGACGCGCTGACTGCGCAGGGCGTGAACGTGTTTATTTTCTATGGGAGGTACGGTGTGCACGTTCACTGCTGGCATTTCAAGCCTAACGTGTGGATTTGCAGCACCGAGATCGGTGTCGTGAGCCCGATCCTGCCTGCGAGAGTCGGCTACGACTGGGAGTACTTTGCCATTCCCGCGTTTATCAAGCCCGAGCTTGTTCCCGTGGGCGATAATACGTTTGAGCTGCTCGTTCTTGTGCGTCCTTCCTTCTTTCCCTGACCGCTACTTTGAGCCGACGCTGGCGCTGACTCCTTGCTTATTGGACTTGATTTGGACTTGAATTTGGACTTGCATGTGGACAGGCAAACACGTACTCCGTGCCCGCCGTATTCAACACAGCGCTGAGCGACGGCGTCAAAGCGTACGCGACGTCCGACCTTCTCAGCCCGCACCCGACACGCAAGGGATACTGGCGGGTGTTCGGGCGGACAGACGACCAGATCATGCATTCGACGGGCGAGAAGGTGCGTCTCTCTCCGCACTGGATCACTCGTGCAGGGAACCGATAGACTGACAGTATAACCGTCGCTGCGGTATGCTAGACGAATCCGGGCCCGCTGGAGAGCATCCTAACCCAGGACCCGCACGTCGGCGCGTGCGTCATGTTCGGGCGGGGCAGATTCCAGCCAGGCGTGGTTGTCGATCCCGCGCCGGGGTTTGAGTTTGATCCGCGGGATGCGGGGCGGGCGGAGGCGTTCCGGGGTGTTATTTGGTGCGTTTCTGGGTTCTTGCGGTGTCGTGTGTGCGTGCGTTGACTGGAAGGTGCTTTAACCTTTGCTAGGCCGAGTGTGGAGGCGATGAACCGGTACGCGCCGCAGCATTCGCGGGTGTTTAGGGAGGTGAGCTGGCGTTTGTCGCCTTTTATCCCTATCCCACAGCGAACGTGGTGTTCATTCACCTACTTGTTGCTTGCTTGCTTGCAGATGATCGTGATTTCGACGCCCGGCAAACCGTTCACGTATACCGCCAAGGGCACCGTGCGCCGGCAGGCGGTCATCCACGCGTACAGCGACGAGATCGACGCGGCGTACGCGGCCGCGGAGAAGCTCGAAAGCGTTCAGAGTGGTGGGTTTGCGGTGCCGGAGGTGTGGACGGCCGACGCGGCGCTGGCGTTTGTGCGCGCGGTTGTGTGGAGGGTAGTGGGGAGGGAGGTTGGGGATGGGGTGGATTTGTTTCAGGTTGGGTGTGATAGGTGTGTGGCTGTCAATCAGAGTTGTTTTCGCTGAGGTGGAGAGCTGATACTTTTATGACAGTTTGCAGGCGACGTGGATACGCAATACCCTTCTTCGTGCGCTTCAGGGTGCGTCCGCAGGAGCAGGGATCGACGTGAGCAGTATCACCGAGAACATTGTCTACCGCCACCCGACGATTTCGGCGCTTGCCTCGTTTCTCGTGGACGTCGCTCACGGAGATAAAATTACTTCGAACGCGAACGTGGTATCGCAGAGGGCAGACCGCATGCGCGCCATGGCAGAGAAATACATCTCCAAGTCTGCACAAAGCACCTCTCCGTCTTCGCATCGAAAGCGCTGCACTTCCCCGCTCGCATCTGCGTCTGCGGCAAGAAACAGTGGACACGAAGCGGTCGGAGGCGCGGTGGTGCTCGTCACAGGCACGACGGGTATGCTCGGGAGCCAGCTCCTCGCGGCGCTCGTGGGTGACCCGAGCGTGGGGCGCGTGTATGCGCTCAATCGCGCTCAGGCGCGTAGTGCCAGCGGCCCGGGCGAGTGCGTCAGGGCAAGGCAGGTGCGGGCGCTACGGCAGGCGGGGCTGGATGTGCGGCTGTTGGAGAGCGAGAAGGTGGTGTTGGTCGAGGGTGATTTGACGGAGGAGCGGTTTGGGATGGGCGAGGTGTATGAGGAGATGCGGGGGAGTGTGACGCATGTTGTACATAACGGTATGTGCTTGCTGGATCTTGCGGAGGGCTTTTTGCTCATGATTGTGGTTCTTTCTTTAGCTTGGACGGTTAATTTTAACCTCGGGCTTGATTCGTTCGAGGGGAACATCCGGGGTCTGCGGAGTCTGGTTGACTTTGTACTGTCGTCGTCTTTATCGCGCTCGCCGAAGGTGGTGTTTACGAGTTCGATTGGGGTTGTGCAGAGTGCGTTTCTTCCCCTCTTAGCTTTTTTTAAAATGGGATTACTGACGTGTGGGTGGTAGATTCAGGCTCGAAGACAGCTATCCCGGAAACAGCCGTCGAAGCCGAAGTTGCAGTCGGCACCGGGTACAGCGAGTCCAAGTGGGTCGCCGAGCATATTCTGCAGCGTATGGCGCAGACGCACGGGCTCGACGCGCTCGTTGTGCGCGTTGGGCAGCTGTGTGGCGCGGTGGAGAGCGGGGCGTGGAACGTGAATGAGTGGGTGCCTGCGCTGGTGCAGGCGGCACAGGTGCTTGGGTGTTTCCCGAGCGAGGATAAGGTGAGTTCTGAGCACGTTGCGGACACCGTGGGGAGTTTGCTGAGAAGGGATCTGTAGGACGTGTCGTGGATGCCCATCTCCACCGCTGCTTCGGTACTAGCGGACGTGGCGCTGTCGAGCGGCACGGAGACACCGCGCAGCAGAGTCGTGCACCTCGTTCATCCCCGGCCTGTTGCGTTTTCGAAGATCGCAGACGCGTTTGCGGCGGAGCTGGATGTGCAGGCGGTGTCGTACGGCGGGTGGCTGACGAAGCTGGAGGCGTTCGCCAGTCGTGCCCAGGACGGTCCGGCTGATGAGCATAATGGTCAGCCCTGCGGAAACAAGACGTTGAGAGCCGTGCAGCTGCTCCCGTTCTTCCGTGCGCTCGCCGCTACCCGGACGGGTTCAGAAGCGCTGGGGTTTCCGAGGCTGGAATGTACGCAGTTGGAGCGGTGCTCGGGGCTGGTGAGAGAGCGGGGCGTTGAGCTGCTGGGTGCGGGGGATGTGGGGCGGTGGGTTGGGTATTGGAGGCGGGCTGGGCTGTTGAGCTGAGGTGCTTTGGTGGTGGGTGGGGGTTTGTGTGTTATGATTATGTTATAAGTTATTCTATTTGTAGATGTTGATGTTTTTTTCTTTGCGTCTTGATCGAGTGCTTTCTGGCGAGTTGTCTTCAAGTTCGTTGTAGAGGAATGAAGTGATAGGCTCGAAGTATCGCCGACTAGTATGCGCACTGCGGCCGACGTCGATCTGACTTCCGAATTTACTTCCGGGGAAACAGTTTATGCATCCCGTGTTGCCCGGACCTCGCGTCTTGCCTCGCGCCGTGACAGAAATCTCTCGGCTAGATCGCAATTGAAGCTGCAACGTACCATCACAGATGCACGAGATGACACCGGCGACTGCGTGCACCGGACTGTAGCCCAAGTGTCATGTCTCACTCATCCATTCATGCTCTCAGTCATGGGTAGCTGCTGCCGAGGAAGAACAAACATGAGCTAGCTTCTCTCGAACACTCGTAAAGAAGCCAGCATGGGCGCAAATGAACACAAATGAACACGGGCTACACACGGCTACACTGTCAATGGGGAGCAGACCGAGCAGTCATCGAGCAGAGATGCACCCGGAATACATCTTCAACTTGCTCATGGTGCGCTGCCCGTTCGATCGGAGTCTGACGTAGGGATCTCGCACTCAAGCGAGAGCGACGCGAACAACCGCACGGGCGATGAACGGGTGTCGAGGTGAGGCGAGCGGTCGTCGGTGTTCCCATAAACCCACGATTGTTTTTGACGCTGGCAGTTTTTTCTCTTCTCTTTGCTGCACTGCCGTTGGGATACTGAGCCCCGCGCTCTACCTAGCCTGCTTCTGCTTTCTTACGTCCGGGAACCCGACCTCTAAAACTTCACGATGACTTCATCAAGACGCATTCCTCCGGCTCCTCAATCGCAGGCTCTGACTTCGGCGACGTTCAAGGTCGCGCCGCTTGATGGATCTTTAACCTTTCCGGAGGTTGTGGACTGGCACGGCGTGCATAGCTCTGATCATCCGCTTTTTGTCTACGCGAAGGAGGACGGGAGCACGCGTGCGATCACTTGGTCGGAAGTTGCCAGCGCCGTGTCTGTGGGCTCAAGGCTCCTGCGGCAGCGCACCAAGGTGGTTGGGGCGGGTGAGAGGCCCATTGTTGGGATCCTCGCTATCTCAGGTGCGTTGACTTCATTTTGATTTCGTACCGATGAGTGCTGAAAGCGAGGTACGGTAGATGTTTTGACTTATGCTATGACGCATCTCAGTCTCCTGCGAGCGAACTTTGTCCCGTTCCCCATCTCGCCGCGAAACTCTGCAATGGCCGCCGCTCACCTGATAGAGCAGGCCAATGTCGACTTCATTCTGGTCGGCCGCGAGCAGAGCATGCAAGATCTGCTCGACGAGGCGCTCTCTGTCCGCCGCGACAAAGCCTCTGCGTCGCCCGCTTTGAAACTACCCACCGTCGTCCCGCTGTTCACGTTCGACGAATTATTCTCTCCCTCGCCTGACGTCCTCGCGTATCTCCCCGACCACACGCCGTTCATCAGCAGCGGCCCCGACGCAGACCTCATCATCCTACACTCGTCGGGCTCGACCGCGTTCCCGAAGCTCATCCGGTGGAGCAACATCCGCGGCACGCAGATCTCGCTCATCCCGTTCTTCGGCGACCACGATCTCACGGGGAAGGTGTTCTCGCTGCACACGGTGCCGATGTACCACGGGATGGGGTTTAACCAGCTGCTGTGGGCGGTGAGCTCTTTTTTTTTCTTTCTCGCGCCGATGCAGCGCGGCTGCGTTTCTGAACTGAATGTAACTGAGTCGTTGGGCGTGTTTTGGGTCATTGTTAGGCGGGCTGCGGGTTGACGATCAGCGCGTTCGAGCCGAAGGTCCCTGCGATGCAGCCGACGCCGGATAATCTGTTCGTGGGCGCGAAGAGGACGTCGAGCGATTTTATCTACTGTGTTCCATCTGTCATTGAGGTGCATATCCACACTGGTTTGGGATGCTGCGAATGTATTGACTGGATTGCGTCGCTTTGGATAGGACTGGGCGTCGAAACCTGACTACGTCCGATGGCTTGCCACGAGATCAGGCCTCGTAAGTCCTTTTTTTTTCTAGCTTCATGATATACAGCTGACCCTGAATCCATGATAGCTGTTTGGGGGCGGACCTTTGAACAAGGAGACGGGAGACTTCATGTTTTCGCAAGGTATCGGTATGTATATCATGTATGCAGGGTAAGCAGGCCACCTCCGTATGTGTGTTAGCTGTTGGCTACATTTCTAATGTCATTCTAGCACCGAGATGGGTCCAGTGGGCCCTATGATTCCAGGTGCGTGGATGCTGCCGGAAAGATTAGGGAAAGCTGAGCTGAGCGCTTTTAAACAGCGAACGTGGACAAGGATTGGGAGTTCTTCACCATCTCGAAACAGATCCAGACCGAATTCGTGCCGTACAGCGAGAACACGTTCGAGCTCGTCATAGTCGTGCGTTTTCTTTCCATCTCCATTCGTCTCTGCTCACAGGCTCTGACATACATGGATGCAGTCAAACGACTTTTGCGTGCCGAGCGTGCTCAACACGGACGTGAACGGCAAGAAGGCGTACGCGACGTCCGATTTGCTCGAGCCGCACCTGACCAAGAAGGGGTACTGGCGGGTCTTTGGAAGGGCTGATGATCAGATTATGCATAGCACTGGCGAGAAGGTGCGTTCTTATGCTGGCCTTAGGGGAGATGTTCGACTTTACTGAGCGCTGTGCAGACGAATCCGGGCCCGCTTGGTACGCTAGAACTTTTGCATTTCCAGAGATGGTGATGAACTGAGGTTACGACGACGCAGAGAGCATACTCAATCGCGATCCGCACGTAACCGCTTCGGTTATGTTTGGTCGGGGTAAGTTCCAGGCTGGCGTCATCGTGGAGCCCGTCCCGAGCTGTCGATTCGACGTCTCGAGCGAGGGAGAGCTCGCCAAGTACCGCAACTTGATTTGGTGTGTTCCGCTATTGTGGGGACAACCCCAGCGAGTTGGCTAACCTGCACACCAAACAGGCCGACTGTCGAAACTATGAACAAATACGCTCCGCAGCACTCGCGTATCTTCAAAGAGGTTGGTATCCTTCCATGCTTTCTGTGCGAGCGCTTTTCCGAAGCTTATTCGTGATCAGATGATCGTCGTAGCCAGCCCGGCCAAGCCATTCACATACACGGCCAAGAACACCGCGCGGAGACAGGCAATCCTCAACGCATACACTGACGCAATCGGAGCTGCGTATGCAGCCGCACATCAGAGCGCGCAAAGCAGCATCGAGCCACCGGCCGAGTGGAGCTTGGAGCTAACAAGCACGTTCGTGCGTAGGGTTGTGGAAAATGTGCTATCTGCAAAAGTTAAGGGAGAGCGGGTTAAGGTTGGAGGCGACGTTGACTTGTTCCAAATTGGATGCGATAGGTATCACCTCCTGATTCCTCTGCTACCCAATGGTCTTTCGTACTAACCACTGCCAGTCTGCAGGCAACGTGGATCCGCAACACCGTCCTCCGTGCCCTGCGCGATTCCGCGTCCACATCCGTCAATACGCGGAAAATCAGCGAGAGCGTCGTGTACCAGCACCCGACCATCAATTCGCTCACGGCGTTCCTTGTCGAAGCCGCCCGCGGTAATGCCGAAGACGCCGGGGAGTTTTCAATCTCCCAGCGGGTGGAAGCGATGCACAGAATGGTGGAGAAGTATATAACAGGGGATGCTCCTACGCGAGAGACGACTTCTGCGAACGGGCGACTCAAAGGCAACGGCACCGTGGTACTTGTCACTGGGACGACCGGTGGACTGGGCAGCCACATCCTGGATGTGCTCGTCAAGGACTCTCGGGTGAGGCACGTATTCGCGCTCAATAGATCAAGCCGTGCCGGGGAAGATATTCGGACGCGCCAGAGACGAGGGTTCGTGCAGGCGGGTTTAGATGAAGGGGTATCGTTGGATAATGTGACGTTGGTGAAAGCCGATTTGGTGGACGATCATCTTGGGTTAAGACAAGATTTATACGACGAGGTGTGTACTGTAAAAGCTAGATGTTGACTCGAGCTAACGGTGAGCGAATAGATGCTTAGGAGCGTGACGCATGTCATTCACAACGGTGCGTGATTTCAATCATGGATAGGACGGTGAATACTGACTGGAGATGCAGCATGGAACGTCAACTTCAACCTCGGTCTCGACTCGTTCGAAGACAACATCCAGGCTACACAGAACCTTGTCAGGTTCTCCCTGTCATCGCATCTTCCGGCACCACCGAGAGTCGTCTTCACGAGTTCTATTGGGGTATTTCAAAGTGTGTTATTGCGCCACAATCTTGTTTATGTCCATTCAACCCCTTCCAGATGTACGGCATAAGCAGTATCTCGCTGAGACGCCCATCAAAGCAGAAGTCGCCGCCGGACTCGGGTATACCGAGTCAAAGTGGGTTGCCGAGCGCTTGCTCATGCATATGGTTGGTGCTTTCCCCGGGCTGGACGTCTTGATAGCTCGCGTGGGGCAGCTTTGTGGCACAAGTGGAAATGGAGCGTGGAACGCGAAGGAGTGGTTCCCTGCGCTCGTCCAGGCGTCGCAGGCTATGGGTTGCTTTCCCACACAGGACAAGGTGAGCGCCTTCTGATAAGCGCTTATAACTATATATAGCGTAGACGCTTGTTGGCTGATTGAGCGCTGAACAGGCCGCATCGTGGATACCTATATCAGCGGCTGCATCCGTCCTTGTGGATCTGACTCTCTCGAGTTCGAAACCCAAGGACAGTATCGTCCATCTTGTCCATCCTCAGCCTGTTATTTTTTCGTCGCTTGCAAGCCATTTCGCTTCGATGCTCGACGTACCGCTCGTGACGTATGACGCATGGTTATCCAAGCTCGCGGCTCTATCGGATGATGCGAGCAGTATTCCGCGCGTCCAACCGAATGGCGATGGCAACGACTATAGCAGCATTCGCGCGCTTCAGCTGCTCCCGTACTTCCGCGGTCTCGCTTCGAACGCGGACAGTGGCGATTCATTTGGACTTCCGTCGCTGGACTGCTCGCAGTTGAAATTATGTTCGAAGGCTGATTTGAGCACTGAAATGGAGAGTTTAGGTCAAGCGGACGTCGTGAAGTGGGTCGCATATTGGCGGCAAGTTGGACTGTTGCGTCAGGTTGTGTAGGCATCTTCGGAGTTCAGTCTAATTGATCTGCAGTTTTATTTCTACCATAAGCTCGCTATGTTTTCTTGATACATTGCAAGAGAAATACAGCGTGGAATAACTTGTGGTGGGAGGGGTAATAACCTACAATCGTGTGTATCGAATTCTAGGTGTACAGTATTGCGGACCGGATCGGGAGATCTTATGGCTGGCGAGCGCTTGAGATAAGTACTCGATAAGTGCTGGATTCATCGAACCTACTAACAATGCCACTCCTTTCTCATCTTCATCCCACTTGTTGCCAGAAAGTCAAATGGACAATGTTCAACCATACATTGTATGAAGTTGCCCATAACCATAGGTGGGTGATCCATTACTTGTGGGTAGATCTGTAGAGTACCGGGCAGTCGATCGGAGGACAGCGCTAGAGAAATTTAAACCATTCGCAGTTCCCGGTCCCAAACTGTTTCGGAGCTATTACTGACATTGAATCGGACATCAACTACTCACTATGAGTCCGAATCGGACTATGAATATGACCAAGAAAGGAGTTAAGCCCCTAAGGATTCGAAATCCACTAGTCCCGCGCCCTAGGATAACCTCCTCAACTGTCAGTATCGGCATGTAGGATCCTGCCCCCATCATTTATCAGCATGTTCCGCCTTTGGTGTCCGAAAATCCCTTCCCTCCGACTCCTTGCAGCTGGAGTCTCCTCGGAGTCTCTGCGTCGTCCTTGCTGCCCACTCTCTTCGCTCAAGCCCCCTTTCACGAGGAACTCCATCACCACCGCGACCAGTCGACTACCTTCTCATCGACTCTTTAATATGCTAGACCCGAAGTCTCTCATGAGGGATCTGGAGAGCGAACTCTTCAACTACACCACCGGGCGTTTCCTGTAAGTCTCCTATATCTCGTCTCGTCTTTGTCTGACTCGTAATGTGATGTACTCAGTGCCAATGATGCACTTCGCCTCCGTGAACGCAGGCGCGTCTTCAACATCCCAGGACTCTTTAGAATCATCGCTAAGGCACTGCCCTGCAAGACTGAAGAGATCGTCAATTTTAGAAAGCTTGGAGAGGGTGGCCTCAACCGTATCTTTCTCATCACCTTGGACACCGGCTTCCAGCTCGTCGCTCGCATCCCGTATCCTATCCTGATTCCCAAGGCGTACGCTCTTGCCAGTGAAGTCGCTACCATGCACTTCCTTCGTTCCAAAGGGCTCCCCATTCCCAAGGTCTACGCGTATTCCTTTACGTCAAAGAACGAGGCCGAGACGGAATACATTCTAATGGAGTACGCCGAAGGCGTCGACTTGAGCCAGATATGGTTCGACCTCAAGGAAGATGAAATCATCTCACTTATGGACCAGCTTGCGAAGTTTGAGTCTAGTATGATGTCCATCTCTTTCCCCGCTGGCGGGAGCATCTACTACGCGAGAGACCTGAAGGAGCTGTGTGGGAACGAGGGCATCCCGCTCGAGGAGGACAGTGAATGCATCCCACGCGACGAGCAGATCGAGAGCAGATCGCTCGAAATGGAGCGATTTTGTATAGGCCCTGATGTATCAGTACCGCTATGGTATGGACGGAGGGAACAACTGGACGTATTCCGAGGACCATGTATGTCGCACTTCTCCTATCTCTTCGGCCTCGTCTTAATCAATTTGTGACCGTAGATGAAGACGCCAAATCAGTGCTGGTCACGGGAGCCAAGAAAGAGCTCGCCTACCTCGACCAGTTTGGCTCACCGAGAGCACCATATCAATGCTTCCGAAGGGAGTACTATAAGTACGAGAAGCAGCCACCGTCGGACCATGCCAATAACCTTCGCCGCTATCTCTGTCTCGCACCGTCGCTCGTGCCAGACGACGACTCCCTCAACACTTTCTGCATCCGTCACCCCGACGTCACCGATAGCAACATCAAGATCTCGATAGAATCCAGCTGCTTGCATATCGTTGGCATGTTGGACTGGCAACACACTGCTGTTCTTCCCCTCTTCCTCCACGCCGGCATGCCCGACATCATCCAGAATGAAGAGGATGAGGTCTCTCGAAGGATGACCAAGCCTAAGCTACCGGATGACTTCGACAAGCTATCGGAAGAAGAGCAAGAATGGGAGATGGAGCTCCTCCGTCGTCGTCTTGTTCACTATCATTACAACCTGAGCACAGCCGCGTACAACAGGATCCACCACAAGAGTCTGGTTTATCCGTTGAATACCTTCCGTCGCCGGATCTTTAATCATGCAATTGTTGGGTGGGATGGCGAGACGATCAAGTTGCTGTATGCGCTGATGGATATGGTGTTTGACTGGGCGAGTTTCGCGAAAGTCGGTACTCCATGCCCAGTGGTGCTCACAGAGGACGAGAAAGCTGCGGCGGTTCGGCTTTATGAGGCACTGGTGAACGCAGAAGTGGGTGAGAGGATGCTGATGGACAGTGTTGGCTACGGGGAGGAAACCTGGGTGCCCGCCGCTCACTACGAGAAAGCTAAGGCGTTCGGTCGGGAGATCAAGCAGATGACATTGAAGGCGTGTGCAGAGGACGAAGAGACGACGGAGGAGACGTACGCTGTGATCGATGCGAACTGGCCCTTGGACGATATGGACGAAGAGGAGTTAGAAGAGTACAAGTAAGGAATCGACCTGTATGTCCATTCTGCGATGTTATTCTGGGGGTAAACCCGGTGAACACTTGCTACGAACGGTTCTGAGCCATCCAGAGAAGTGTGGCAGAGTCTCGCATCCGCAAATTCAGAACAGGTTGAAGAATTTCAAAACACGCTTTCCCAACGCGTGAAGCATCGACACATGGACTGGAACAAGTCGCTGACGTTCCATCAAGAAAACCTGAGCGCGTTGGAGAGATCTATTTACATGAGCAACGCGCGATGAAAATAGTGAGGAACACAACATGCTTGGGGTATGTCGGCACAAGACAGATATCGGAACTACTTACCCGAGCCCCAATTCGACGAATTCGACGTTACGGCCGGACTAACGATATCGCTCGGCTTTACCTGTGGCAAGCTTCAATGGCCCTTCTGTTGCTATTGTTGTTTCGCTCTTCAGTCTCTACATATCTACAGGAAATCTACAGGAGTCGGCGAGTCATCTTGTCGGCCGAGACGATCCTTTCCCTGCCTTTCCTTAATGTAAGTTCCGAACTGGAGCGGGAGCTTCTTTGTGGCACCGAACCGCTCACAGCGAGTTTTCTCTGGGAATAAACTGTACCAAGAACTGCGTGTCTCCAGGATCAGTCGATCACTTCTGGTTGGCGCCGGAAGCTTGTGTTTGTCTTTCATCTGTCCGGCATTGAATGGCTAAGGGTACTGGTAAACATAGCCGGGGCAATAGACATGTGGCCGATTCGGCCGACCTCCCCTCGTGTGCGTCGTTATGACTCCACCAAGCACGGCGGGGAGTCACAATTTACAAAGCACGGTGGACATGATCTATCTTTGTACCGAGGTCCGAGAGTGCACCAAATAGTTTCGGCGCGTACTTTTGCTAACGACCCGCAAATCAGACAAACTAACTTGGCTAACTCTTCACACGCCTCCAGGGTCCTTAGTTCCACCCCGTAAAGTATGAAGCTAACGGGCCCCGCCAAAGTCACTTGCAAATGACTTCAAGTAACTTATAGCGGAAAAAAATTATTTCCGCAAGTTACGTTGTTGAGTGTCCTTGGTACCCCGCGTAGCACAAAAATCACGACTCACACCTGTTTCAACTAGGTTCAGAATCTCTGTAGTACTGCCACCGCCGTTTGATCGGTCGCTCCGCAATTATTCTTAGGAATGACGGTCAAAACCTTATCGAGCGGGGTGTCATGTTAAAACTATCTTGCCTGGTCCACGACATAATTGTCATCGCCCATACTGTCTGAACGCCTATAAGAGAGTGACTCATATGCACCATTGTTTCGTTAGCAGTCTTTACTCATGCCGTTCCAAACTGATCGAGTGAGTTTGGCAAATGAACAACAAATGTGTAAAAGCAGTTGCACTGACCACGTCTTAGGACAAGTGTCATTCCTGCAATATCTGCTTGCGACGGTTCACCAGTGCCAGAGATGCAAGGGTGCATATTAACCGTCTCCAGTATGTTCACCCGTTATGAAGATTTTACAGTCACTATCTGATTCCGTCTCTTTTGTATCAGTCTGAATCTAAATACCGTTAGATGTCGACTTTGCGGGAAAGAAGGGCCTGATCCAAGCGCTATCCGACGACATTGTCACAAGGTTCATGGCGTGCCCAAGGCTAGGAAAAGTGTGCATTACGAGGATTTCATTGGTGAGACTCTTCGTTAACATACTATTCGACTTGGTAAATGCAGCATCACACTCTTTTTAACAGATAGCGACGAATGGAGGAATCACTACCAGAGCGATCGCGTCCGCAGTCGCTTAGTGGCCTCATCGTATGTGCAGCACCCGATCTGGAAAGCGGACACCTTGCCTCCGTCCACGTATCTCAGCGTCACAATGTTGAACGGACTTGATCCGGACTCTATTTACGTACATGACTCATAGTAGTTTAGTAATGCACACAGTGCATCAGTCAGCATACGCTTACTCATACGAGTACTAAATATAGGCAACCAATAGCATAACTAACTCACCTACGTTACATGCGTTACAGTCACAGTCACTCTCTAGTATATATACCAGTACTGTAGCGCTCTCTCAAATACAAGTCTTTCTCTCCTGAACGACTACCATCGCTACCAGCTCTATCAAGCTACAAAGCCTCTAAGCAAACCCAACAGGTGAGTACGTGAAGCCCGATGCGTGCACTAATGCGCCGCTTCCATTTCACAGGTTATGAGCCCCGTGGGGCATGAACCGTCGCTTAGCGTTTAGACGCTGCGAGGTCCACTAAGCTACAGCTTGGCGTTTACGCCGCTGGCTCGAATTGCTACAGCTTGGCATTTGTGCCGCTGGCAAAAAGCCGTAAAGGCTAGGGGGCCGCCAGGCTGGCACAAAGTGCCGCCAGGTCGGTTCAACCCACGTCTCACCTGGCTTGTTGTCGTATGCGTCCAGAACGCTGACGACAGTGTCCAACAGATATGTCTTCCAACACCAAAGCCAACAACACCTTCTCCGCGACGAACATTTTCAGCGGATCGCACGTTGAAGAGTGGGCTTTGTCCATGCTCCACTACTGCCGTTCTGAGGGCTGTGGTATCGCACTTGACCCTAGGCCGGTTGCCCTCGCTACGGGCACCGACGAAGAAAAGGCCGAGAGGAACAAGGAGATCAAGGAGTGGAACACCAAGGACATGCAGGCCAGGGGGAAGATCGGCTTCAAAGTCGACCCCCACGTCTGGGCCAAGGTCGAGGAAGCAGCGAAAAGTACGACGGCCCCTATCCATACGGCGTCGGAAATCCTCACTTTCCTCAAGTCCGAGTACGGCGTCCAGAAGCGCGGCGTCACAGAAGCTTTCGTCGAGATGGGCAAACTGCTCCGCACCGGCATACCCGCCACGGGCAACCCCAACCATCACCTCGACGTCTTTTACCGCACCGCCCAGCGCCTCAACACGCTGAGCGGCTTCACCGTCAACCTTCCCTCCAACGTCCACTCCTATCAATCGGGAGTTCTCTGCGATCAGCAGCTCGCGCTGCTCCTCATGTGCGCGCTCCCCGACTCCTATCGCGCAGTCAGGGAGCATTTCAACAACGAGGTCAAGGCGGTTGAGAGTCTCTCCCTCGTCGACCTCCGCGATGCCATCTTGCGTCATCAAGCGCAACTCGCGAACTCGCACAAGTCCCCCGGACAACAGTCCAAGGGCAAGCAGCGCACCACTGGCGAACGCCCGTACGAAGGGCCGGTCGCATCCGCGCAACCTGCGCAGGGCGGCAAGCCGAAAGGCAAGCCGCAGTGGTCTCAGCAGCAGCAGCAGGCGGGCCCTTCGGGGCAGCAGCAGCAGCAGTGGCAGCCGAAGCCGAAAG